CGCGAATGCCGAGATAGCGCAGCGCGTTCTCCACTTGTGCGATTTTATCGCTTCCCGAGCGAGCCCCCCGGTTCCGTCCGCGCCATTTTGTCGCCCGCGCGACTCGTTCGTCTCGGCGTCGCTTCCAACTGCCTTTTTACCTTCTCTCCTCACCTTCTCTTTCGAGCTTCCAACCGTGCGCGTAGTACACCGCCGAATTTCGGTATTAATTATTGCCGGATGGCGGCCGCGGGCTTTGACGTCTATATTTTTCTCCGCGCACAAGTTGACTTAATTGCCCCGTGTCCCCGAGCAATTTTTATATTCGGCGGATCGTCTCGCGTTTAATTAAGCGAAATCACGATGCGCTAACACTCAGTTTTGCGATGGTGTATTTCCGTCCACCTGACGTGTATTCTGGGAGGTCCTAGGAATGTAGCTCGATGCGAGATTAAGCTCGCTTGTTTGAAGAGAAAATAAAGCAGTTTTGTATTCTCATGATCTATATATCCGCTTTAAATCAGGCTGTCCGATCTGATAGCCAGCACCTGCTGCCATTGATGTCATTCAAAATACTCTACTCGTTCATATAGATATCATTTAGGAACATCTGCCAGCTGAACGTCGCGCCAGCTCCTTTTTTGCATTCACTCCCATGGGTGTTTGCCTAAACTAATAATATATGCGTCTTACAATTACTCCTCACCTGTATCCGTTTGCATCCGAATGGAGGGAATAGTTTCAACTAATTTCGTAAACATTATTTTCTAGCGATATTGAATAATTTCGCACTTTGAGAAGCACGTAAAAACTTGTTAAATACTCACCGTTGTATGTACAAGGTGATCATTATCATTGGAATTACGGGACGGATTAGAAAATAACAAGGACTGCGGCGCAGATTGCAGACTGAAAAGCAGATTGCGATCTCGCGCTGCAAATCGTGTCGTAATACCGTTTCCGTTGCAATAACCCACGGCGTCAATCGAAGTCACACGCGATAACGTACGAGTACGCATCCTCGGACGAAGAGAGAGAAGTGGAAGGAGGAAGACAGGGAGGGTGGACTCGAGGTGCGAGCTTCGTCATTGTCATGAGGCTGACACTTCGGGGTATCGGACCTCGGTCTGGCCATTAATAATCTTAGCCCGAACGAAGAAACAAAGAGGAGGAGCGCGGGGAGAGGAGTGCGTCGGAGTTGGCGAACGAGAGGGTACGGGGTACACAGCTCGCGCGCACCACGTCCGTTCACCAGCACCATCGCGCGCCAGCACGCCCGGCGTATACGTGGTAGGTATGTTCGAATGTGTCCGATGCGTCCGATAGGGCGGGACACGGGCATAAACAATTGCGCATCAGCCTCGCCCCTTCCCAATGCAATGTAATAAAACGAGAGGTCTCTTGCCTTCCACCGCCGCCCCGATCCCGAGAGGAGTTCTCCTCGTCGAGGCCCCGGGGCCAAGAATATCGAAATGAACCGGCGTCCGCGCGATATTTCAGCGAGCCACGGGGGTCGTACGTACGTGGCCGAGTAACGTAACGCAAGCCCCGACCTCCTACGACCGTGCTCCGAGATCTCCGGCGCTCGATTGAAAGCCGAGAGCTGGCAAATTTTTAATATCGTACGTGATTATTGGTGAGATTACGCTGAAACGCGCACGCACACCTCCAAAAAGGAAAAACTCCCTCGCGCGCGGCCCATTCAAATGGCCCGTAATTACCGTGGCGAAAATGAGTCTCGGGGCCCTTGTAAATAACGTTGCGATTAATCAACGCGATGCGCGGAAAAAACCAATAATAAAATGTTTCTCGGGCTGCCGATTTTGCGTTCGTGATCTTTGTTTCCGAGAGCACCGGCGGCATTTATCCCTTGTGCGGCGTGCATCCTTCTTCAGCAGCTTCGCGGATCCTTCAATCTCTTTGCTCCAACTCAGGCCTGGCCTAAAGCAGAGGTGGCATTTTAATTGGAATAAATTCTAGTGCTCGCGGAGCGTACATAAAAAGTGCCGTATTTCGAATTCATCTTACCGTGTGCGATTTTTGCCCCGCTTTCAAGAAACCCCATCTCTTTCAAACGATTTAAGTGTACTGGTTCTCTTGCGCTGTTGATTAAATTAAATAGTTGGAAGTTTTCTGAAATTTAAAATTTTGAAATAGGAATGAAAGATATATAATCCGTTAGGTTTTAAACAAATGCGAAAAGATAAGGGATTACCTCCGTGTTAGGTAACTTATTTGGATAAAAACTACGTTTTGGAAATAATAAAATTTACGTTTCTTACCTAAGGATATAGTTAATTAGCATAACAAATACTTTAATAACTTGAACTATATTAAACATGCACTTGCTGGATCGTAAACAACACAGTCCATATATAATACATGAAAATTGACAGTGCGTTGGAGCTGAAAAGTTTAATTAATTTTCAACCCTTTTTCTTCCACTTTGACGCTCCGAGAAAAGATTCCCAATTTCAGGGATTAAATCAAACAATTCTAACACTTTGAAGGCGCGGTCTCGTGGTGGCTGGTGGTGCGTATATGTGCGTGAAACGCTTCCTTTCTTAAAAGTAGATTAATACCGGGCGATGAAGCGACCGCGAGCAATGGACGGGGTGTGAAAGAGGAGACGAGGCAAGGAGGAAGAGAAAGAACGAGAGAGAGGAGAGGTGATGGTCGTTCTCCTGCGGCAGGGCGGACAATAGCAGCTCCGCGAAGTGTAGCGGACAAACAAATAGCCAATTAAAATTCCGGTTGCACGGCGAACATACTTGTATCAGCTGCAATACTACCATTGTGCACCGAAGGCATGCGCAAGCCGGTGTCTGGATCGGTTGACTGGGCCTGGGTACCAGAAGATCGGTTGCTTACGACCAACCTTCAAGGATTATCTCCGCGGTAAGCGGAGGCTCGTTTGCACCGTCCACTCGACTAAATCTTGCCTCACGAGACATCGTTATCGTCGAATCACGCCTTTATCGCGGCCGATTCGTGTCCCCGTGCTAAGGCCTCCTTCGCGTCCGTATACGTTTTGGGCGCCGCAGAATTACGTAATGACTCGAGACGCGGGAATCGGCAAGATATATTGGCGCCAGTCCGTAGATTTTGTCTCGTGGACTTGGGGGAAATCCCCGCGACTGGTGCCATATCGACTCGCATCGCCATCGCGTTTCTCTGCCTCGGCGTTCGATAAAATTCCCATGATTAATTAAGGTAGAGAATTAATTACCTGGAAGCAGGGTGCTTCGTTCCCACTCACGGCGCTTAACTATAAATGTCAGATTCGAAATTACTTCCTCACCTCCGATCCTACCATCTTCCCGATCCGGCGTGGATGTTATTAGGAAATCGTTTAATTGGTAGATACCGATTTTAACTGGCATTATGAATGGTTACAAGTGCCACGGGGTCATTAAAAAGGCGGAAAACATATTATCCTATTACAAACCCGCGGCAACCTAGCGAGATAACCGCCGCGAGAGAATCAGATGAGGTAGCGAGTAATCGCGGAGAGCGCGGATCGCTTTATCGATACTCGGGGGTGGGTTGTGCGAATTACGGCGATTGTGTTTCCTAAAACTTCGGGCATCGTGTAAAGAAAAAGGTGTGCGTATTACCGCAGCCGATCGATTCCACCGATATTCTTCGATTCTCCGGTGAGAATGAACGATTACTAAATTACAACGCGCCCTTAGATACGATCGGCGGGCCATAATTGCAGGACTATTCATACATTATTGGCTCGTATATTATTTGACGCGATTCAATAACTCTGTAGCGGGACGGTCGATGGTATCTCTCCGTCGTTAAGGCGCATTCGCAGTATCGATCGACCCTGATGAATGGCCACGTTTAAGGTCGTCATTTTTCCCGGCGATTATTAACGCTAAAATTGAATGTGTCCGTGAGCGCGGATCGGGCCAGTCGTGTGGACCACGCGCGAAAAACGAGGCCTCTCCCGAGAGGCAGATCCATCTTCGAATGTGTGTTAAAACCTCGCGATGCCCAAACTACCGGGAACGCCTCGCTCGCTACTCCTAAATGCAACGGGGGCCCCCATGATTTATCTGCGGGCGCCAAAATAAATGGAAAAGTTTTACTTTTTTTTTTAACTGCTCCCTTTTCAGATGGTTAAGATTGTCGCTCGAACGTTATATCGCAAGCGCAAGGAGTTACTTTCAACGCGTACATTCGGAAGGATATATGACATCGCGTGTTTTTTTTTCTCCTTTCTTTCTTTTTGCCGACCTGCCCGGAGTCCTTAGGCCTGTCTCGGAGATAATATAACAAGGTGACGTTAATAATCTCCCATTCGTTCACTCGCACGCACGCGATATATTAGACGATTCTTTTCTTTCGATACTTGGACGAGAATTCGTCGTACATTTGAATTTCTTCTTTACGTTTCCATCGAGGCGCAATTACGAAGCTGCGCATCAACGTTGATGCAAATTACAGATGAAAGATAAACAAAGTTATTCGGCTATTTTCACGCATAGCTTCAGCAGAGCCAGCAGAGCTGTTTCTCTTAGTCGGCGGTGGTATTTAATTTTAAGGGAAAACTTATTCTCGGGATTTTAATAGAAATCACTCGCGCGGAAACGGTCGAGAAAGTCACGTATGATTTAGTATGTGCCACGAGGTTAATTATTTCATTCGGAACAGTCATTAAAAACATATTCGTTCGCTGTGATAAACTAATAGGTCCCGGCACAGCCGAGTATTTACGCGCGTACACACACGCGCGAGTATCCACGTAGGTATATTCGCTCGCTAATGTATGCCGCGGGAGCGTGGAACACCGGAGCGACGAGAGGCACGAGGGTTCACTTGCGTTTCCACGACGATTACCTGCGGCTAATTTACAGCAAAGCGCGCGGATAAGTTCCGCCGTTATTCTTCCAGTCAGAGTCTCCTCGCGGCGCGGTTACCTCTTCTTCGCGGACGTTCCCTTTTCCTTATAACGGCGGAATACAGTCGATTCACCTGAAAAACCGATGCCTCGTTTCTGCGTAGGCCGATCCGGATCTGCATAAGCGTAAGCGCAGCGACTCGACCGCCGTTCGTTTATAAGCCCCTCCCTGAGAAGTGGCGACCACCGCGACGACCGTCCCGGAGTTAATAACACAGGGAAAAGGAAGTCACGCGATTGAGGTAATGAGGATGATGAAACGACGCGGCTGATACACCTAAAGCGTTAATCCGTCTCGAACGAGCTGGGTGCGAATACATAGTTACCAAAGTACACAGACGGGTAGGATCGTGTTCTCATTAAATGTACCGCTCCTGCAGCTGCCCGGTGAGCTAACAGCAACGACTGGAGCATGGCTGACGAAGAATCTGACATATCTAAAAGGGGCGATACCCCAGGGGACAGCAATGCCGACGGCAAAGTGCCAGATGAAACCAAATGTGACGACGTAAGTCGGAGCTAATGCTCTTTCGTATCCCGTTGAATGAATAAATTCAAATCTGAGAGAGAGAAAGAGAGAGCGAGATTTCTACTGATATTAACAATAAGTATAGATTCCTAGCAAAGACGCAGTTGCTATACAGGACAACGTGCCTTTAATAGGTCGATAAAACTTCGATCACGACAACCACCACGAAGAACGCTTTAATAACGACGCAGCTGGGACCGTGCGACGCTTATCCGCATCCTGTTAAAGTTTCGATCGTCGGTACAAGAAAGGTTGGAATGGCTTGCGCTATCGCAATTCTAATGAGGGTCAGTATACATATACCGTTCATAAAGATTAACTGTTGCATATCGCAAATTTTTCCTTTTCATCTTCAGCGTATAGCAAGTGAGGTCTGTCTGATCGATCAAAACTTGGACAAGGCTTCCGCCGAGGCCGAGGACATTCAGCACGCTGGTATCTTTCTGGGATGTCCGCTGGTGATTGGCACGTCAGGTACTTTTTCTGCTGAAGAAAACACACGTCTTAGATATTACATAGAGATATGGCGATATATAAAAATTGTAACAATTACACAATGCGCCTATTCAACAGTACTTTTCTCCCCGTCGCTCCCCGATCGCACGTCATTTCTACGAGAAACGCCTCGTCGCATTATCCGTGTCAGATAAAGCCAGTGTTAAGAGTTGTCACAGCGGTTAACACTTTGGATGATCCCGTCGTCGTGCTCTATTCACGGAATCAACGAATCGTGAACGCCCATGGGCGATGTAGGCCTTCCGCGCATTAGGTGCGAGACAGCTCACCACGGCACAAATTCCAGAAATTTCCGATTGATACGTCCGAACTGATGAGTCCACCGAGCGTCACCGGCGTGTCATGATCGTCGGCTCCGATCAACGCTCGCCTTAAATCGACGATCCGTTAGGTTGCCCGTCGAGGGTCCTCTGTCAACGTGCAGCGATTCAGAAACAACGCTTTCACACAGGCTGCTTTTGAGTTAGCGGTGAGTTTCGGGGGCCCAAAATTCCCTCGGACCTGTCCTTTAATCTCGTGTCTCATCTACATCGTCGGCCGCTTATACGCTGGCGAACCGGGCGAGCGTTTCCCCCGAACTTTTCACGGACACTCTCGTAAATCTCGTCCATTTTTATTTATCTCGGCCGTGATCGACTCCACGGCGCGGTTTTCTGTTTCTGTTTCCAGCGTGCGTACCACAGCGCGGTTACCCCGTCCGCCGAGCGGCCGGCTGTAAAAGCGCCGTATTCTTTGTGGGAATCCAGAAGGACAGTAACGGAAAGTGTGTGGTCGATCTTGTGGATAGTATCATCGAGTTGCTCCACGTTTGATCTCGGGAATGGTCTCGGTTTTTTCGACTTTTCTCGGCATTGCGTGCGACGCGTAGCGTCTGTATTCGTATCTATACGGGATAGCGGGATGATTCTTTCCGATCTTGTCTCGTGCGAGGTAGCAATTACTGGAACAAGTGGGACGACTTTTTTACGGGCTTGCCAAGTTATCTGTAACAACATCTCTCTCCGTCGTAAATGTATCTTTCGTATAGTCGCTGTACTGCCGCGCGTTACTACAAGCATTTTGTGAAGGTGTTGCCTCGGATCCGTACTCTTTATTTTTCCGACCGCGCCGGATTGTCTTCCCCGCCGTCGTTATCGGCGCATCTCTCTTCCGATGATGATTCCCTCCCGAAAGGGGGAAAATTTTCTTATTTCTTCTCGTCGTTTTGTATTCCACACACTTCCGAGGAGCTGACGATTACGCGGTTGAATAAGACGTTCCCCGGCGAGAGGTTCCCCGGAAAGGCATATCTGATTCTTAACGAAGCTATTTCCCGTTACGGCTTCCCTCGCGTGAATATCCACGTGTTTTCTCCAAAGATTCGACAACGATATTTATACCTTAACTCTCTCAGGGAAACGCGCCCGCAACATTAAAACGTAAAACATTAGATGTATCTAGAAACCATCACTTGACGATAATCTACGATCTGCAACCGACTGCATTTTAGATGTCTACAAGGTGAAAGACTCGGCGGTGGTAGTAATCGCGGTTTGTGAAAAGAAAGCCGAAGAGGAATTGAACGTGAAGCACAACATCGAGGTGTTCAAGAAGATCGTCCCCACAATCGCAAAATTGGCCTGCAAGGCAGTGTTACTAGTTGTAACTCAGCCGATCGACGTGATGTCGTACATCACCTGGAAGTTGTCCAAGTTTCCCGCGAGTAGAGTGCTTGGCACGGGGACTCTGCTCGATAGCTGCAGGTTTCAGGATTTACTGAGTCGGAAGTTGGGGCTGGCGCGCACGTCGATCAACTGCATGAGTATCGGCGCGCAGGGCGACACATCTGGTACTTGAGCGACAACCTGACTAATTTCGCCGGTTATTAAGAGCTTCTTTTTTTTTTCATCGATGCAATGATATTTATCAGAGTCTCGCTCTAGTGGGGTGTTTTTAAATAAATGTTATGGACAAGCATTATTTTTATATACGCAAATACCATTTGCGTTTGAAAGTATCACACGGCATTTTAGTTATATTGTTAACGACTTAACAGTTAACGACGTCTCTTTCCTTCCAACATCTGTCGTTTCATATAGTTCCTATATGGTCGAGCGTTCACGTGGCGGGTACTAAGATACGCGACATAAACCCACGAATGGGCGAGGCGGATGATCCCGAGAAGTGGCGTGACATTTCCGAAGCTGTAAATAAAACGTCAGTGGTTAAGATCATGGGACATTCTCGGGAGAATTTAAGGAAGTAATAAAATCTTTGCGCTGTGTTTACAGCGACACGGAGCTTAATCGGAAGAAGGGCGAGAGAGGGCCGGGCTGCTGGGCTCTCGGCTTCTGCACCGCCGAGATCGTCGATGCCATCGTCAGGAACACTAAAGCTGTATTGCCAGTGTCGACGTATATACATGTGAGAGATACAATCAAGTTAACGTTCCATAAAATTATTGAATAGGTTTAGGCAGACTTTAACTTCTTGTTACTCCAAAGTCAAAGAACTGTATTCATTCAATTTTGAAGACAGACTCTAGTTGCATAAAAATATAATGTTAGTTTCTCTGATTACAATCTAGTTGCTAGAATAGTTAGACATTGAATATGAAAGGAAGTTGGAAGTTGCGTGTAATCATTGTAAGATAATGATACGTTTTTAATCGGTTTTTTTTCTGGTATTTTATCGACTTTACAGTGACTTTTTCACAAATAATCTGTACTTTTGCGACTTGAACGAAAGAATTCTGAGACGCTTTTATCCGCGCGTCAATTGGCTCGACGGGGAAAACAAGATCGAGGAATTTCTGTTCGCAGAGTTGCGCCCACGGGACCGATAAAGATGTATATATGTCGGTGCCCTGTGTTCTCGGTCGGGAAGGTGTGTACGCCACAGTGCGACAGAAGCTGAATGATCAGGAAAAGACGGCGGTACAACGGTGTGCCGACAGCATCCGCAGTGTGCTGCGTGAGTGCGGCATTCTACGTGAGACAAGCGACATTGAGGAGTGACGACCGGCTGAGGAAAAGAGGAGAGCGAGCAACGTGAAGGACCTGCGAGCGGATATGCAGCGCGGAAATAGCGAGGAAAGGGAAGGGGGTGAAGGAGCGACGTCCTAGAATGCATCTTCATCAATAAAGGCAATGCTGCACCTGGCAACCGGTTTCCGCGTGCGTACATACATTCGATCGCCGTAATAAACGATATGAGTGAAACTCGACTTCCTGGAAAATTAAACCAGCCGCGTTCCCCTGCAAGATTGCTTGCGAACGGTACATGCAGCTCGCGCCACAATGTTGCACGCGTGCGGAGCTTATTACCGTTTCTTTTTTGCTCGATCGAATTTTGATTTACGCAGTCGAACGATGTACGGCGGAAAGGTGAAAGGGCGGATGAAAATGCATCTCCATTGCGTGCGAGGCGAGTATACGGTTGAGAGCTGCGGCTAAAGGAGATTGGATAATTTAAACTACAACCCTTTTTTTTACATTAGCTTTAGGTCTTGTTGTATAGTGAAGTCGTATTACACACGTGTATATATATATATATATGTGTGTGTATTTTTAGTCTCAGAAATTGAATGGTCGCTAAAATAAACCAGGATCACGTCTTTATAATAAAAAAAAAACTAGTGAACTGTATTGGTAAAGTTTATAAGGATGCAATAAAAAAAGTCGATTCCTAAGAATCGCTTCTCAAATATCCTATAAAACACAAATTGGCAGTATCTCTCCAGGAACGCAGCGCATCCCACCTGTGCGGCTCCGCAGCAGCTGTCGATCAATTTTACGACCTTCTATCCGTAGAAAAACGAAAAGCGTAGGAACGACGCGTCCAATCGGCGATTCGTCTCTACATCTGCCCGGAGCATTTACCTTTTTGTATAACGAGCATTCTTTCCGACTATAATTGATTCTGTACGGCGCGATTGAATTTATCGATAGCATCTTTTCGCCCGTGATCGAATGTGTTAATCGGATTGTATATCTCCCGCTACAAGATAACTTGAGGTTCACATCTCGTACATATAGTACATTATGAGCGTACGTCGGACACGAGGGGCAAAGAGAATTCTCTCGCGTTCGACAGTACAGAGCCAATACGGCCATCTTATTAAATCCACTTGTTACGTATCCGTTGCCAATTTCATTGACCTCCTGTCAAAATTATTTTTCTCGACTGTCTGCTTTTCCAGACGCGTCCTGTCTTATGTAAATTTTAACACGGAGCGTCAAATTTCGCGGTCTCGATCAGTAGATGTTCACAATGTCAAGCGACTTTTGGTTCGTCTAAATTATTTTATGTTATACTCCGAAGCGGAAGAGCGTGTCGGATATGACCGAAGCAAGAAGGAAATCACCTGAGGTTGCCGGCAGCACGGTAACTGTTTTACTGGCGAAACAGGCGGAACATCTTGTGGATGGTCATCGTGTCAAGGTCGTCGTCGTTGGCAGTGCGCCCAAGGGTGTCGCGGTCGCTATAGCGATTCTATTCAAAGTTAGCGGAGTGTTCATTTCTTTTCCAATTCTAACCTTTCACGCCGCTATAATTGTTCCATTAATTTTGTATAGGATGTACTTTTATCACAACGATTGAATTACTTTATTACCACGTAAAATATAGCGGCGCATATATTTTTTATCAGTTGCACAACGGCACACGTACAGATAACGGCCAAGGAATTGTTCTACTTTTTACAACCTTTATGAAAAACATTACCCAAGTATAAAAATTTATTCCTAAATTAATTTGCATTCAGCGCAATAACTTTAAGCACACTCTTTAAATTTCTCTTCTCTTAAGAATATAATATTTTAATATTAGTGGTATATTTTGTCAATCATTTCGTAAAGAAAAAGCTCTGATGTGCATAAGTCAACGTCAATGCTAATGTACTTCACATTGGTGTACTACATTTATTCACTTCGAGAAAGGTGTATCAATATTGATTAATGCGCACGTGCGTAATCGATCTGTACCTTATTCAATCAGACGACACGATAATGCGCTCGATACGTCAATCTAAACATGTCCACAATGATACTGAGTGAATGAGACATAGCGCCGGTGTCCAAATGGCTGGGGCATATAATTCGTATTTGTTCGTCGAGGATTAAAGATATAATGCTCCACGTTGGGGCAAACCTCGGGAGATACCCTCGAGGTGCACCCAACAAAGGACGACGGTGCCGAGGAATGTCCCGACCGACGTGTGTAGGATATACGTGCAAGTTTACGAGGACGAATCCTGAATGTGGCCTCGTTAGTGTGTACGTGTGTGCCGGCTCAAAAAAAGCTATTATGCAAATGACCCACGGAAGGCTAGAAGAGAGAATTCGGTTGTAGAAAGGAGCAGTACGGAACATGGAAGAGGGAAGGAGATAGCGGGGAAGGAGATGATAGAAGATGTAGAAGTGGGCCGGTCCTTTCGCTCGTTATCGGATCGTAACGCGAACATTTACACGTCGGCCAATGCGCCCCCGCAGGACGGCTCTAACCGACTGATTTACGTTAGTAACTATGGAGAGAGAGAGAGAGAGACTGCATTTTATAACACGGTTCGCTTGAAATTCTTGCGCGAAACGCGTATTGTTATTACATAATGGTAGTCGATTCAAGATTTCACAAAAGAAATGGAAGATCTCTGGGAATTTTAGGGGACACTTGTGTGTACGTGCAAACTTATCTTTTTATTCCGCTTTAACAAGTCCTGAACTATGTAATAACAGGAAATACGAGAAATATGAAATTGTTTGTAACGTTCTAAATGAAACTGTATATTATCATTGCATTGTTTAGACATAATTTCGTTGCCGCAGGGAGGAAAATTAACAGTTAGACGGAACACATTGTGGCTTGCGATGTTACAAGGTGCAACAGCGTTACGTCCGTATGCTGAGTACATTCCGGTAGAGGGTAATAAATGTGGGCGACTAATTCTAGGTTTTGGTTTCCGCAAATTTACGAGGGCAAACAATGGTGTGTGCATGCGGTGGGACGCGGAGGGCGTAACTGACGGACGATAGACTTCTCGTTGGACGATCTTATGGTGTACGTCGAGAGACTAAATAATATATAGTGGAGTTTATCATGTATATTAACGAGGAGGTCAGAATGGTGCGGGAATAACTAGGATATTAGGGAACCCGTTACCGTACACGATAATAGCTTTTGAAGAAAATTGTCCAGGTTGCGTATCGAATTAATACCCATGGATTTCCTTAAAGCTGGGTCGAATTGTTGGCTCTCGTGACGATGACAAATGATTTCCTTAGTTTTTTATAAAAATGAAAAACACGCACTTCTAGCTAATATTGATCATTTAAATTAACTACGGAGCACGAAATTTCGCTTATCCGACATGATCATGATCTCCTGATTCCCGGAACGTTCGGCGACCAAAGACACGACGAAAAAGAACCGGGAAGAGGGGCAGGAAGAAGAAAAATAAGAAGCGAAAGATATGACCGAGTCGTGCTGCTGCACCTCACATCGCAACATGGCTGATCACATCAACGAGATTATCGCGAGGTACGAAAATAAGACCGCTATGGTCCACCTCGCGAATCCACTGTACCAAAATTCTTCTACTACTGTACATGCCAGGCATCGTTCTTCCTCTTGTTCCTTCTCGTTCTATCGCGACACTTCCTATTAACACGACCCATATCAGGTTGCGCAAAGTGAACCAGATCAAACTTTTAACGAAAAATACGTCGCTCACATATCTCGGGCCATATCTACACGAACGTTAATATGCACATATTTATGAAGAGATTTTCATATTGTTGTACGCGTCTTTAAGCTATAACAATAGTGAAACTGAAGACATTCTTCAAATATCAAATTGTTATTGCCTACACGTCGCATTTTACTATTGATAAAATGTACTTCTAATAATATTTCTTATCCGCAATGGCTACTGTTTTAGCAATAATTTGTACAATACTTTAAATATGGATCAGTATGGAAGATAAAAATCTAATTAAAATTAGTAGAAACTTAACGAAAAAATGATATACAGAAAAAGAGAAGGAGAAAAAAAGGACAAGATATAATTCGCCAAATATTCATGTATTAAAAATAGAAAGAAGACAATTGTGCATGTATTATTTATAAGAAAAGAATGACCGTACGTGTTAAATTACGACGTATCCATGCATATGCTAATTAGATTTCTATCTAATATCGCGGTACACAATGTTAATTTTTATTTACGTGCATGTGAAAGTAACAGACTCACGGTTATTGCGAGACAATGAAAGTGATGGATCTATTCAACAGTTTAGCAGCTCACGATACTCCACCTTTCGGAAGCCACGCTTGATGAAGTAAGATAATTAAGTGGTGTGCAATAACAGATCGGAAGCGCGAGAGCGCAACATAATATATTAAGAAGCCCTTTCGTAGTTAGCCCGGCGTTTGTCTTAATGTGAAGTGTGAAAGCACCATCTGTCCGAGGTGAAAATACGTCCGCCTGTTCGGGCGCGAGCGCCTTGGTAAAGTGTATATTTAATACGCACCGTCCGTCGCTATTACCACGAAAACGCGTCCGTATACGATACGGTCCTAGGAGAATAATGCCCATTAACTTTTACGGGGTGATTTACATGATCGTCCGAATATCTCATTACACCACAAATTAGTCTGCACAAATTAGAACCGCTCGAAGCTTAATGATCCGTCGTTCAAAAACGAATATAGATTACCAGCGGTCCCTTATACCGCTCGTTTGCCGCGCCATTTGCCACACTTCACGGACTCGTATAACGTTACATTTACGACGTCCCCGGGTATCCCTGGGATATTCGTGTACGGTACGTTAATGAAACTAAAAAATTCATGGGAAAACAAATAGACAACGATTTACGAAGAAGCCCATGATTGCGGGAGAAAAATGAAGCACGTGCGGACAGGGGGTCGCCGGAGCATCCTTCATGCTCGTTTGACATTTCATGAAGAAAGCGGTCGCTACGGTCGAAAATGTTGTAGCGGCTGCCGGAGGTAGGACGGAAGGTGGTCCCCGTGAAGAGGAACCGGCGAGAAGAAGCCGGTACCGGTCCTATAATTATTCATGAATGAATTATCGCCCTGCGTAAGACATCGTTTGTGTCACCGGGTACCGGCGGCAGCAACAACGACGGCCACAACATTGTGGATCCTCCCGAAAATAACACGTTCCACGGCGCTCTTCCCTGATCGGATCTTAACGATTCCTCGCATTAAGGGACTTTGCAAACGGCGCGATTGATCGCGCGCCCGCACGTATCTTAATGCGATACTCGGCCTGATGCTCTCATTGCGTAACGATTCGAAGCGCATAATAACACTGCCCGCCGGGCAGCGACCAGTTGCCGTTAATTACTCTCTAGCTTCTCTGCCTGCTACCCCGTTCTATCGTTCATCCCTCTGTGATTTTTTGTTGTTGTTGCAGCGCCTCGCCTCCGAGCTGATCCTTATAGACGCGAACGAGGATCTCGCTAAGGCGGAAGCAGAAGACATCAGCCATGCGGCGGCGTACCTCGGCAATCCCAGGATTGTCGGTACCAAAGGTGAAGCCTGATGGGAGGAGTCTGCAGAAAAATAGCGAGACCGTCATTATACTGTCCGCGAGTAACGAGCAATTATCTGGGCACAACTGCGCTTTAACGTTCGGATAAGTAAATCGCGCGGTTGCGATTAGCGATAAGGTCGCTGGAGGTGACGTTCGTGCACGTTATTGTCTGCATTGAGACGTCGCGAGATGTTAATAAAATTAAGATTATCCGCGGGCTGATTAAATTTCATAGCGATGCTGCGCGATAAACGAGGTACAAGTGGCACGCGTACCTAACAATTAATTAGCAATTAATAATAACACTGACAAAGCAAGAACTCGAAAGTATTTTAATTTCTTTCGCGACCTCTGAAAGTCGAGAGAATAGGTTCTCGTTTTCGTATTTTTTCCCCCCCACAAAAATATCCCTCGCGCAAAAGCACGTGGAAACAAATAAAATTCTGTGATAAACGATAAATCATCCTGCAGCGTGTATTACGCTCCGATAGATTATGCTTGTGCCAGAGACGCAGCGGTATGCGTGATCACAGTTGGAAGCCAGTCTCGTGAAGATCAGCAGCCGGCCGATTATCTGGAGCATAATCTGAAAATTTTCAAGGACGTCATTCCGAACGTATCCAAGTACGCGCCGAACAGCGTTCTTCTCATTCTTTCGAAGCCAGGTATACGTCTTATTACTATATTTAACGTGTTTGCCATACTAGAAATTGCACACATATATTAGCTGATAGGCATCTTATTTGGCATTTGGATAATGTGTCAATCGTTTCTCTATCAAGATATTCTACAACGTTTAAACTCATTATAACTGATAGATCGATTTTAATCGAATAAGTACAGTGTGGCACTCGAATGATTATTCCAATCTCTTTACGCAGTTGACATTCTGTCGTACGCAGCTATGAAGCTGTCTGGATTTCCACCAAATCGTGTTATAGGACTAGGAACATTTCTAGACAGCTGTCGATTTCAGTACTTTATCGCTCAAAAGCTCGGAATTTCAGCAAGCGCGATTCAAGCGTTAATCATTGGCGAGAGCGGACCGGCTTCTGGTAATGAGCAGTAAAAAATATTTAAAATTATAACAAACATTTCCGCATTTTTTTTTATTCAATCTAATTGGTTTCCCCATTTATTCCCTATTTTTTTATGTATGTTAGTCCCGGTCTGGTCTGCTGTCGCGGTAATGGGTATGTCTTTAAAAGATATAAACAAAGAGATCGGCACAAAAACGGATCCAGAATCCTGGGGTGACTTACACACGAAAGTCGTCAATAGCGATAGCGAATTAATCATCAAGAAAGGCTATCACAGCTGGGCAGTCGGAATCTGTGCAGGCGAAATTGTTGATGCTATAGTGCGCAATACTTGCGCTTGTTTTACTGTCTCTACGTTCGTGAAGGTTTATCGATAAGCCTTATTGGAACTATTAAACTTCTGTTTAACGATACTGCAAATCCTGGTGTAACGAAATTATTTTTAAATTGTTATCTCGCGTTGTATAATTATAATATTAATTCATTGCCACATAATAAAGATAATTATAAATTTAAAGAAATATTCAAGTCAATTACAAATATATTTCGGTGAATAACTGTCAGAACTTGGCCAACCATGTCAAATAAATTTCAGGGTTGCCGACACGGACTGGAAAAGGATATTTTTATGTCATTACCATGTGTAGTAGGAAGAAACGGCGTACAGTCCTTTATTCGTTTGTTGTATACATCTAAGGAGCAAGAATTGTTGACGGTATCCTGCAGAAGAATTTATGATGCGCAAAAATTGATCCTCGACAACATTGAATAAATAAGAAATGCAATTAAAGTATTCGTCGCGCGATTTTATAATTACTTTATTCGATTGTAATCTAAAGTATTAAACACTCTCAAGAATTAATATGACGGTAAATTGTATTTTATATTTGAAAAAAAATAGAAATTTATATCAGTTTACATCAGTTAAAGAGTTACTTCGAAATACCATAAATAGGTACAGAAAGATTCCGTGACAAAAGACCTTATCTTCTATCATTCGACTATTCAGCCGAAAAGAGAAATCTGCGTTTGTTTTATAGGACAGTTTGGTTTTATTGCGTGATCAGAGCAGGTAGCGCTATAAATTGTAGGGCGTACACCGAAGATTTCGGTCCCAATTTGCAAAGATTAATGCAGACTACGCGTAATTAATTGCTTCGTGTATGGAGCAGTTAACCGGCCCGCTAAAGGCGATCGAGATGATGAAACGATTGCTATTATAAATATAAAGAGGGGCGGTTTCGCGTGGCTCTAGTGGCCAACGATACCCACCAATTTGTTACAAAATTCACGTATGTTGATATCACGCTTTTTGTCTCTGCCATCCTCCACATTAGTTAAGACGTTCGTTTACTGAACAGTGCAGTTACTGCTGCTTGAATATCAGTGACAAAGTGTTCTCAATATATACACGAGGTCTAGAGCCATATTTATAATTGTGTTTCTATTGAGAATTTTTATTTATATTTCTTCCACGTTTATTGATCTGCTACCGGTTTTCTATTCTTTGTGTTTTTATGCTAAAGCATTTGTTTTAAGAAATTAGTTTAACACATAGACTGTTACGTTATTTATGTGTGAATGACAATTTATTTCATGAAAAAGTCTCAAGAATTTAAATATATTATTTTTATAGTTATTTTTTTCTATAAGAATATCATTGAATGATAAAGATTTTTTCTGACGATTGGCGTCACCGTATTTGAATGTCTTTCGGAAACAAGAAATATGCGAATGACGTACATAATATAAAAACCAATATATAAAAAAAACATTTTTATTTTTATAAATTACTAACAATTTCAATTTCCAAATATTCGTTTCTCTAACCACAGTGTATCTTTCTACGTACTTACTACAGTAATATTTAATAATCATTTAATTAAGATAGTATCTTTAACGAAGTTCTTTTATTGTACCAGTAAATTGCGCGTACAAGATATGTTTCACTATTAAATTTAGTAATCTAAGCTTAAATGTAATAAACTTTAATGAGAGACATAAAAAACAGGGCAATAAATATTACATATTTATCTTAATATATATAATTTCGTTATTTCGTAAAAACTGATGTATTCGTGTTATATGTAGTGATACTGATAATATCCTTAAAGTCTATAACTTTTTCTAGTCCCGTTAAAAGTGGTTAATTACGTCTCTTTTATGGTCGGCATTGAGTACAATTGGCAATGAAAATATTGATGTTAAACGATTTACGTAATGGTCAAGGCGTAATTATAAATAGCCAATATATAAAGGGGACCTAGTCGCATGTGTGTATTAATCTTTGTGGAATAGTTGAACGTTTAGTTACGAATTGCTACGAATTTATTCTTAAAATCAACGCATTAATTTTATTCCTGATCTGACTGACATTTCCGAGTTCCAAAAATGAAAAATGTCATGATATTTATGACTCTGTTATTCGTTGTCTTCTCATTATCGCCAACAATTTGTGACGAAATAAGAAAAAATGCTTCTACAGTCAAACATCGCAATGAGAAGTACACATATTTGGATCTTCCTGCTAGCATCGCACGTCTACCGAGTGGATTATTCAAGTGGTACACGGGATAAGGATGGACACTACCCGCCAAAGTAATTTTGAGTAAGAAAAAAAGAATTAAGACTAAAATCTATTTTTATTTATTTTATCTCTCAAGATCAACTTTTCTAGGGAGGATAAGATATATGGCACGCAACATAATGATTAAGGTAATTGTATTTTATTGTCTTAATAGAAGTTTATATGAAGATATTAAGATATTATAAAGATAGGATATATGTAAAAAAATTAACCTGATTTTGTTACAATTATTTTTTGGCGACTACGTAATTATTTGTTTAAATATATAGTACAATTACACTCTTGTACACATATATTTTAAATGTATTTTACATTTATAGGTTAAAAGGAATGGTTAATCCGAAGCTGTTTTACTTTGGAATTCTTCGTCCTATTTTAATATAATTATAAAAACTTGTTTGATGGAATTCAAATATGAATTAAATAACATAAATATCATAAAAATGAAATAAATAAAGATTATCTACTCATATCGTATGTTTCTTATGAGAGAATATATTCTCTGTAATTACAATGAATTTCATAAGACTATAATAGCAGATAAACATTTGTTTCACTAATGCATCTTGTTCTATCGTACAATTATATGATTTTATTCTTTTAATTGCATAATAGATTTACGCATTATACATTTTACTTAATTTATTTTGTTTTCGGACCCGTAGATCAAGGAAACAGTGATTTAAAATGTAAAATAGTAGTAAATCCTTAGAAATTTCAAGCATTTCGTATTAAATATTTTTTTTTACATAATTAACTCTTTATTCTCGTAGTTTAAGTTGGATGACTTTAATATTTGCAAGTAATATGTATTTTTATATATGTATGTGCAAAATATGCACTGCAGGTGCGTTGGATCCAACGTAATTCTTGGGATCCACGATAATTATAGTTATAATTGACTCGCAAGTTAATTGCTATCCTACTCGAGTATTGCGGAAAAAAGAAGTGCGAGTTATTGTACGCGTATATAAAATTTCTTACCCGCATGGCTAGTATTGATCACGGCCGTCTGATAACGGAAGTTATTTCATTATAATAAGAATATTGCAATTCAGATGTAAATACGAAATAAGAATTTATATTGTTAAATTTGCTGTTAAAATGCGAAACGAGCAGTATACAGGCTTTGGTCCTTGCATCAAGAATTCACGGGCCCGCATCTCACACATGCAAAAAGATGAAAGATGCCCGTACACCAGTACGAAAGCGCATCTGCATGATCTGCTATTGAAAATTCATGTCCCGAGTGGTTTATACGGATGAAAAGTGGGAGGAACCGGAGGACATTGCTCAACGGGCAGGAGACGCGGCGGTAGGTACTACTAATTACTTATACTTTTTATTCCATGCGAATATAATGCCGTCGAAGCAGCCTCGGAGCAAGGAGGTCGCCGATGGAAAAAAGGAAGGCGTACAAAGAGAGAAGGCGAGGTAAAAAGAGACACTGCCGCGCGAGAAAGATCGGTGGAGGGAATATGTAAAAGGGGCAGGGTAGGGTGTAGTTGGAGTGCGTTACTCAAAGCTTTAAAGTCATCTATACGCCATCAGCGACCGATGTATGTATGTGGGGACCCCAAACCGCGCGTACACGCTCGTAAAATCGCCATGGCGCAGAAGGCAGGTCGGACTCCTGATTGAGTTACGATTTAATTAGTCCGCGCGGCCAATCAGTAATTAAGATATCCGCTAATCAACGGGCGCGGCCCTTCTTCGATCTCTCTTTTTTCATAAGTTCGCCACTGGAGAATTTTTGCCGTATTCTTCCTCCCCCCCCTCTCTCTACCCTTCCTTACGGTACTCTCATTCTATTTCGTATTGTTCCTAATCTGTTCTATTTCTTTCTTCATTAGTTATAATTTATTATTAAGCTTGAAATAACCGTACTTGATCAAATAAAAGATTTATTAAATTATTTTGTGTATATAATATGTTTCTATATCACTTGGTAAAACGATTAGCGTCGCACCTTATTCGTATCCAAGTTTCTTGTTCAATATTTGCTCTGGAACTTTTAGAATCGAACTTCTAATCAGCATGGTCTCATCTCTTTCAATGAGAAAAATACTGAATGTTCCCGGCATCTGCCGGAAAAAGATAGAACACACATGATCGAAGACATGCCTGATAAACGAGCCACATTTATTCTGCCTCACCTTTTTTACTAACCTGTTTAACATGCACAGTCCAATCCACGAGAGAGGATTGCACAAATTTTATGTATGCTAATAATCATCGTCGGAATAAAGCTGCGATGATGCACAGATGTATACACATTTATTGTTTATACACCAACAGTTTTGGTGCGATTTTTAAAGATGTTTTTTCTCCGAATATGCACGAGATTAAATTCCGTATCAGCCGGTTGTATGATACAACGTTTTGATTGCAATTAATAGCCGCCGGCTGCGTTACGGTCGGTTAATTGTCGGGGAAAGATTAATGGCGCGAAATCACGCCACTAGCAGTGGATTGTTCGACACCGATTTTTATATCAGTGCATATCTTCATAAAATATTGTATGCTATAACTTCTTGCAACGAAATATACTCGTGAAATAAGATATTTTAATAAAATGTTTATGGGTGGCAGGATTAAAAATTAATTTAACAATCGATCGAATAGTTGAATGAGATTTATTTCAAATTAAATAATCTACATATACGTACATATTATTGAAAAGAATATGAGATTATAGATTGTTTAATTTTGTTTTGTCTTAATTAAAATATTAAATCTGTAGTTGAATTATAATATAAAGTGTCAATAAAGCCCGGATAGCACAAAGTATTGGCGTAGTATTGGGAAATAATGTAAATGCAATACCGTGCAATTATTGATACGTAACATTGGCGTTACATTAGCCTTATATTATTATTGTAGTTAGGTTCGATATATCCACAAGCGCTAATACCTTTTTTAACGATCAAACTCGGATGAATCTCTCTCACGTCGTGCATTGAATAGCAAACCTAATTTATGTTCACTCAATATTCATTTTCCTAAATATACACATATGTAATTGCACGGTTTTTTTTTGTCGATAATCCTCTCCTCGGGTACTACCTTGTCGTGGTGGAGGGGCTTAAGTACCCCGAAGAGTTACTCTCTAAAAATCATTCAGTACATTATTACTGAATCAGTGAGTATTCACTGTTTTCAGTGATAATCCATTGATTGATTTTAGAGAGTACATACTCTAAAGACGGGACAACCAAAGGTACCCATTGCACTATTTGGGCCCGATTTTTCAGTTTCTAATAAACTGCTGACCATAGTTTAATCGATTCTCTGTCTCTTCTTAGATAATAATATAGAAAAGCATAGAGAGCCGAGTAACTTCCATATTAACAGTTAAGCAGAAAATGATAAACCAGGCCTAACACTCTCTGAAAGTTAATCGGTGGATTATTACTGAAAATAACGAATCGATTCACTGTTTGCAGTGATAATCCACCGATTGACTTTTAGAGAGCACATTTATTAATTGATTTTGTTCATTTCAGCACGAACTTTCGAGGACTGACGAATAATTTCGCTATTATTTCGCCAGTTTAAACGAATCGCAACCGCGCGCGGCGATTCGTCGTGTCGCGTCGCGTTCGGGAGTGCCGTTTGTGTAATTGGACTAAAGACTTTCAAAGTGTAAAATCGCGCGAACGGTCTTTGTGTTTTCGCGAGTGTGCAAGAAGACAACCTGAGTGGAGGAGGAGACCTGGGGAAGGCATCAGGCACCGGCGGAGCAACTTTAGGGTAAGTATTTTTTCTTTTGTATAAAATTAATCTTTCTCTTGTTTGTTTTCAATAATTTAAAAATTATTTTCTTTAATATTCATTTTCTTGAATACTCTGTTTTAATATGAACTTTATAATTGTCTGTTACAGGATCGACGTAGTGAAACTCCGCTGTTGCGCATCGGGTCGGTGAGTAAAAAACTTTTTTATTACGGCAAATAGTACGAAAGAGGTCAGTCGATATTTCATATCGACGTAACCGTAGTTTAATTTAAATACGATCGACACTCGTGTATTCGAACCGTACGAAATATTTGTCGGTTACGATAACCGACTATGGAAGGAGTTTTCTTCCTTCCTGATCTCTGGTCAAAATGACCAGATTGTATGGCCGGGAGCAACGAAAGGTATGTCCAATCTGGCCCAACGAAGGACTAAATACGACGAGGTAAGTGGTCAATCCTGGCCACTCTGATGGAGTACCTAAGTAAGGTGCTGTATGAAGTATAATATACTTTGATTTCTTTTGATTTGTTACAATTCGGGTGGGTTATGCTTCTATATACATACATTCTCGCATATGTGCGAGAGTGAAACCCCTATTAAATCCCGCGGGCGCGTTAAACTCCAAGTCAAACCCCTAGAAAATCGCGTCGCGTTTAGTTAAAGATTTGTAAGTTTATTATGTTGCAACACGGGTAGGTAGAAATTGGATAAGTAGGTCTATAGATCGGAATACGGGTAGGCAGGAATTCGGATAGTCAGGGACAGGGGGACATAATTCGAGTGTAAAATATTTAAAATATTAGATAACATAAATTATTTCTTTTATTATATTGTAAGTGTATTGTATAAGTTAAGTTAGAGTTGCCAAAAAGAAGTAACTGTAACTGTAACTTCGTTACAAGTAACGAGTTACTTCTCAACCCTACTATAATTTAACCTCACTGGAATATACCACGAAAGTGCATATACACGTTAAGTGTGATTGTGCAATACCACTCTGTCTCATCTCGATTCCACTTATCTGGCAATCAATAGAAGACTGCGGCCGACGATATTTCAGTGCATTTTTCCTGGACAATAATGAGTGATTCCCAGTAAAACTGTGCGTATTACTATGTAGCACTGTGATTAACGGAGCGTAAATAAATTTTGTAACATTGCTCTGTTTCCACAAAACAAGTCAATATGAATTGTATCTTTTCAGATATCGAACCAGATTATTTTGCATTATAAAATTGTGAAAAAACATCTTTTTCTCGACAAGGATCACTTTAATTGCGCGAGTTATGATATCAAGGATATAGTAAGAGTAGGGATATTAATTTTTGCACGTACGTATCGCAAAGCGACTAATTTTACTGCGGCAACAAGTCTCGACATTGGAGACTGATTTATAACAGAATCCTGAGTTACCGATGAGAATGGATAGATTTTTACTTTACCGTCGTCCGTGAGGCAACGTTGAGCCTCATCAGGAAGATCCGGCGAGACCCGGACACGCGGGCAGATCCGCCTTGATCCGCGGCGGATTCCAGATTGCTTTGGCGATTATGCGATTATGCCCCGATTCGAGATTTATGGGCAAGCAAAGCCGTCCAGGACGCGTATCGCCGTTTATTTATAGTTACGGGGAATCACTTATTGCAACCACTCGCTCGAGCTCTCTTTTCTCTCTTTCTCTTTCTGGTCTTTCTTCCCTGACCCTCTTCTTCGTCGGCCGCACGCGTGAGTGCACTTTTAACGCACTCGTCGAAGACGACCACCCGCGGTATTGGGCATGGGAAAGCAACTGCCGACAAGTACCAGATTTAGCTCATTGACAGAACCGTAGCTTTAGAGACTCTTTTAATTATTCATTAGAAGTTTCAATTGTTATAAAATTTAGAAAAATATATTTCAAATTGTATCTTTTGTATGTGTGTGATTGATTTTTGCGAAATTAAATTTAGTATTTTTTCTTGTTGCATCGTATTTCGACACATATTAATAGTAATGTTTCTTTTTTGGACATCACACGAAAAATAATTAATTTAGCTAAACAGTTATAAATTTGTTCTTATAATTCCTGCTGTCAAGCTTTCAATTGAATAATGCAAGTTAAATAACGATCGCGCCACAAAATGCTGACACTATTATTTTCAAAGATATCAGACTTCTCGCAATTTAACGACGTGATTGCAGGAATTGTCGCAACGCGTTGTGCGCTTGCTAATTCGCTCCGAAACATAATGACTAAAGACTTTCGCAAGGTCAGACTCTCGAGATTTTACTCACTTTCCGCAAGGTAATTTAATCTCATTTCAAGATTTTCACGTCGAAATTAAATATATTTTCAAAGGAAGAATACTCTTTTTTTTTCTACGTGGAGACTCGACTAACCTCTGGTTAACAGTTAAGCAGAAAATGAAAAACCGGGCCTTAACGTACTCTCGTATCCGCGAGCGGTTCCTCGCGAAGGCGAACGCGTTTGCTCACGAGCTATAATTTACAATCACGTCACGGGAAAAGAACCGAAATATTCGTGAGTCTGACGTGCAAACGTAGCCGAATGCTTGGTACACACATACTATATGGCGGTCGCCTAACGAATGTACATGTATTATCCCGCGGTAATTACCATATCAAGATCTCTCGTTGCTGATCCCTAACACCGTCCTAATTGCCACGCTCGACAATTTATTAAATTGCTCTATTATGAGGCCTGTCCTTCCCACTTTTTCTCCTTTTTTCATCTCACTCAAGGTTTTAAGGATCCACATCCGCTTCCCTCGACTTGATTTCGTCGGCTGCGGGGCAAATCGTGCGGGCACTTTGTGCACATTGTTTATGGAAATCGCAGCAGGACGTTGCAATGCACCTCATTCCGCATATTTTAAAGGATGATTACTATGCGGATGATTGCGCCGTTTTACATATAGCACTCGTTGGCTGAGTGGTCACATTTTGGAGAACGCGATGCGTTCCGATGCTGCAGATTAACGTTGCATCATCGAGCGGCACGGAACGAGTATACGTGTGTGCACATGAAAATACCGCGCTAAATGGTAATAGTAAAAGAATACGAATGTTGATCTTCATGAAATTTCATTTTCGACAAAAATCTTCTCAGCGTGTGATAATACGTACATGCGCATAATCACGCGATTGTAACAAAGTATGTCTTATACCCAGTAAATTTCAGCTTTATGTTTTATCTTCGAGGACTTAATCTGCACATGAATATAATTATTAAAATAATGAGATAAAGAAAAATTGTCATTCATATTATTATTATCGCGAAAGAACTTGAACAATGTATCAGCTCCATCAGCTTATTGTTAGACATGCGTAAATTGCAACCGAACAGAACAACCGAAGATGCTATCACTGGTAAATTCATCATACGCGCAAATGGCAGATGTCCGCGCGCCCATTAAAATGATGCAAGATGCCGTAATATTGTAGTGACAATGCCGTTAACACCATCCAGTGTTAAAGTTCGAGCGTCCGAGGCCTTTACAGCCTCTTTTTCTTTAACGGAGATGCGCGTACTCTCGGGATAGTAATGGACTATTCGTTTCGCAGAAGCGATAAATATGTACGCGCAAAGCAAAAGGACCGCGGTACATTAAGTTGGTTGCCTCTGGTACACAAGGTGATACTAATTCCGTGACGTTGACTGTTGACTCTTCGGGCTGTCGGGTTCGTAATTGTGTGTACCATCTTTGTATTGGTGCCGCAATCATATGTCCCTCACAACTTTGTCACGAACCTACGCCCGGCTATTGCAACCTTCAGCCGCTGTAGAGAAATAAGAACACGCAATTCAAGTTCTTGTGTATTTTATGTATACTTCGTGTTTTATATATATATATATATAAAAGTGAAATTCTGTCGGTCTGTATGTTCCTTATACAATTCTATACCAATGGACCGATCTGAGCCAAGATTGACAGTTATTCAGTAGGATTCGGCGAAAAACTTTTGCCTCCTGAAATCATTATGAAGAAAATAATAATATTAATGAGAGAAATTTTGAATACTTATTCCATAAAAAATTAATGCAAATAAATTTAATAAAGATAAATATTTTATTAAAAGATCACCTTTTCTAATTTAATTGAGGGATACATGTCGATCCTGATTAATGATATCAACAAAATTGTTTTGTTCCCCCAACAGTAAAATATTTCTACCGTATTGTGAGACTATTTCGAATCGTCATTTGAACTGTTATAAGGCTGTTTTTTTATAGTCTTCATATACAAATTTTCATTTCTTCTTTAACAGCTAATTTAATTCCTCGAATAGTAACAATTTATTTATAAGATAACGAGTATTGTGCTTGGCAGTAAGCTTTGGTATGTCACGCGGTGCAATACTGTGAAATATTTTGTGTAACGAAATTGAATGAATGAAGTGTCTTTACTCTCTCTCTGCTAAATATAGCTATAGTCGTTTCAGAGTGGGCAGCAGGTATATCCGTAATAAGAACACGTGTAGGACATGAGAGGAAGCGGGAACGCCATATTCGAGTCACTTGAATAAACTATAGAAATTCCGAAATGAATCAATACCATTCTCGCGAATAACATTACAACCGTTCGGCGAAGGTTGCGTCAGACTACATGCAACTGGTGTCAGTCTGATTCATCTTTACTTACAGCGTTCATGAAAATTATCGCTTACTTAATGTATGGATATATCGGCGATACAATCTTTGATCTACCTTCAACTGTAATCTTATTTTAACCATCCCAAATGCTGTCATTAATCATATTTCGTTAATCATCTTCACAGATATCGATAATCTTGTGTTGAATATATTGCAAATTATTACTTTGCGATAACAGTGCTTACAACATCTTTCGAATTTCAATTGCTCTTTAGTTAAAACAGAATAAAATATCGTTTCTTTTAATATTTAATTTTTTAGTGTTAAATATTTGAAATAATAAAGTCTTATATAGCAAATATCTGCTATAGCTCATTGGCACTTTCGTTATTTGCAATACTGAAATTAAATTGCAACTCTATTTAACTTTTAAAGACAGATAATATTTTTATCAGGTTTTGTTCTTTTTAACTTTTAATTGCTCTTTAGTTGAAACAGAATAAAATATCGTTTCTTTTAATATTTAATTTTTCAGCGTTAAATATTTGAAATAATAAAGTCCTATAGCAAATATCTGCTGTGGCTCATTGGCACTTTCCTTATTTGCAATACTGAAATTAAATTGCAAATTTTTTTGAACCTTTAAAGACAGATAATATTTTCATCAAGTTTTGTTCTTTTTAACTAATGGTTGCTTGTGCCTATTTTATATCTTCTAAGCGTGACCGAATTTAACTTTACCGATAGCCATAAAAATCCCTGCTATAAAACGCGGGAGTCACGACTTGAGTATTGCTTCCAGAAATACTTTTGCCCCACTCTCCACGTCCCCTAGTACCTCATGATTGGTCAAAAGGGAAGATTCATAGGAAGGAAGTCTCGCCGAGCTGGGGATCGATGGTGAATGTTTACCGTGCGTGAGTTGCGTCATATTACGCGTGCGCAATGTCACGTTTCCCTCTTCGAAACAGTTCGAAGTATTCTGTCTTTAATATGACAATTCGGGATCCACGTGCTACTTAGAGTTTTTAAAATTTTCGGAAATTGTCATTTTTTTATTTGAATACTTTTACTGTACCGTAGATAATCGTCGAAATGTCATTGTATTTCGTCATTGCTCGCTCGTAGAAGCTATATAAGGTGGGGGCAAGGTCACCTTGGCGAATCCACATCCCTGAACTGTCAGTCCAGTAGAATAGCGGTGCGCCAGCTGCAACGGTTCAGTCTCTGTTCGACGGTCAAAGAATAGTGTTGAAGGAAGAATTCTTGTCGAGGTCAGTGACTCTCTTCAAGCACATCGCTTAAAATACTTTTTGATCAACCGGTCTCACGGCGTGCAATAGAAAAGTGATAACGTTCAACTAAAAATCTATATGAAATTCGTTTCATAACTAGCTTCATTATTTGTAACATTTTAAGAAATTCAAGATTACTTGGTGAAACATTCGTTCCCATAAATTGGTCAGACTTAATTATTTAGTACCGCTAACTCGACAATGTTTAGAAATATTTTTAACATGACAGTCAAAGTTCCATGCTGTTGCTTGACTAACTGTTATCAACCGGTGCTCCTTATCTGCGATAAAATGTATGTATGTCGATAAAACACGTGCATGCTACACTACGTACAGTTACCGGTATGTTACAATTTATCGTTTTCTGACTTCCTGCACAAAGTATAAATTAATAATGGAACTGAACACTGCACGAGCCTTTCGTTGATTACATCTTGCTGGTCAAGCGTTATTATGAACTGTGATTAATGGTCTGACCGCGATTCCGCGAACCGACGCATAATTAAAACCCAACGTATTCTCTACGCGTTTTCTCGCTTTGCAGTTCACACGTTTTGCACATAGTTGAAAAGGAAATGCCGGCATATCTTCGCCGAGTATACCTATACTGCCATCTGACAACTGCACGCACCATTCGTTGCAACAAGTAGAAACTGTATGATACACCCTACAACCGCGTCGCTCGAAATGACATTTGCCGACGCGACACAGTTCCTTCTCAAAAAAGACTCGGGCACGAGCTAGAGTTGATATTATTAACGAGGTTCATGAACTCGTGTTAATGACCGTAGTCGCAAAAAAGACAACTGTTATTAGAAAGAAAAGTAGCGGACAGAGAAAACTTTTAAACATGAATGTTTTTAACGATAGATAACTTTTTAATGTTTTAGTACTGACTTTCACCGATTTATTTTTCCTTATTACTTGTAATTAATAAATAAAAAAATTTTTTTAAGACGGTGTAAAACGTATAAGGTTTCATAGAGATATAATATTAATAACTAATTATTAAATTATTTTCATAGATATCTGCAGAAAATGGCAACATTGAAGGCTCAACTTTTAACTACTGTGACAGAACCGATGTCAACCGGTAGAAATAAAATCACAGTGGTCGGTGTCGGGCAGGTTGGAATGGCCTGTGCTTTCAGTGTTTTGACGGACGTGAGTTAATCTCATTAATCTACATTATTTTTCGTAAATAATAATAAAAAGAATTGTATATCCTAAATTATCGTACTGTGTTAAGTTACATTCATGCAATTGCAAGGACACACGTAGGTACGTGCGAACTTACATCATTCGGTATATCATTGCAGCATGTTTCGAGCGACGTGGTATTAATCGACGTGATGGCGGACAAACTAAAAGGAGAGATGTTAGATTTGCAACATGGGAGTGCGTTTATGAAGAACGCAAAAGTGAACGCCAGCACTGATTACGCCGCGACTGCAAATTCGAGTCTTTGCATCGTGACAGCGGGCGCTCGTCAGCGCGAAGGCGAAACCAGATTAGACTTGGTTCAACGTAACACCGACATCTTCAGAGGCATTATACCGCAGTTAGTCAGATATAGCCCGAACACGGTTCTCCTTATCGTTTCCAATCCGGTGGATATTTTGACATATGTGGCATGGAAACTTTCCGGCCTGCCAAAGAACAAAGTTATTGGCAGTGGTACGAACCTGGATTCTGCTCGTTTCCGCTTTCTGTTATCGCAAAAACTCAATGTCGCACCGACATCTTGCCACGGCTGGATTATCGGAGAACATGGCGATACCAGTGGTATGTAGAATCTTTTTCAAATAATCAAATTGTAATAGACGGACAAAATTAAGTAAACATAATATATACATATATAATTAATATATAGAAAAGGAATATTATTTTGTTTATTGTAGAATTTTTAATTATTTTAAAAATATAAACTAGTTTAAAAATTATATTAAAAGGTAATAAAAATTAATAAATTTGTAAAAAAAACGATTTAACTAGAATAATTAGATCTTCGACGGTTAAATCAAACAATTTAAAAATATAGCTTTTTTTTAGCCACAATTTTAATGGAATTTAAATAAACAAATACGTATATGTATATATACATTAATAAAATATAATAATTTTAGTGTTGTAATTATATGAAATATTTGTTTCTGTATTTATATCAGTGCCTGTATGGTCTGGCGTCAACGTTGCCGGAGTACGTTTGCGTGATTTGAACGAGCACGTGGGCACTGATAAAGACGAGGAGCATTGGAATGAGTTGCACAAGCAGGTGGTACAAAGTGCGTATGAAGTAATCAAACTAAAAGGCTACACCTCATGGGCCATAGGTCTCAGTGCGTCGCAACTTGCATCAGCTATATTAAGGAATTCGAATCAAGTGCACGCTGTGTCCACGTTGGTTACCGTAAGTCGACAATATGGGTTTCTACTACACTAACTTACAGTATTTAACATATTTTGCAATCAATACAATTTTAATTTCATTGAACTATACGTATATTTCCATGCCTCGTTAATTATACTCTTGGAGAATTATCAACTATTTCGTTTTTTTACAAATTTATTAATTTTTTTTACCTTTTAATATAATTTTTAATTTAGTTTGTATTTTTAAAATAATTTAAAAAATTCTATACAATTGACAAAATAAATTCCTTTTCTATATATTATTTATATATGTGTGTATATATAGTAAAATTTTGTTATGTATGTAAATATTAATGTATTATAGTTATATACTAATTGTTTATTGAAGTACATTAATATATTAAATATTTCTCTAATTAATTGTAAGACACGAGGAGTTTATTCGTCTGAAAATAGCATTCAATCTTTAGGGTCATCATGGAATTGATGAAGAAGTGTTCTTATCTTTACCTTGCACGCTGGGTGAAGATGGCGTCACGCATATCGTTCAGCAGAAGTTAACAGACAACGAGCTTGCATCATTGCACAAATCCGCAGAGATGATGCACAAAGTGCAAGAAGGCCTTAAATTTTAGGAATATATTAACTTTGTTAATTTTATTTTTTATCTGATTTACATTTCAATGCATGTCTTTGATGCCGTTCCATATGCAGCTTACATGTATTTAGACATGTATTAGATAAACGCAGTATTATATGCAAGTTTTATAAATGTTATAAATTAACAAAGTATTGTGGCGATCGCGGTGCAGAGTTGCGCGCTGCTCTGGTGATTTGAAAACCCTAGTTCAAATCCATCCAAGCCCCGTTGGTTTTTAGTTGGATCTCCACCTCTCGAAAGAAGCGGCAGCCCCCCTTTTCCTTGAGAGAGAAGTATCTTGTCACACAAGCGTCTTTCTGCAGAGCCGTCTCGGAGTCGGCGTTAAACTGTAGGTCCCGTATATCTGACGCATAGATATATGCATAGACATAGTAAATATAGACTGAGTATCCCATTGAATAAGCTGAAGCTTGTGAAGAGAGAGACAGAGAAGATTTAAGAGGACTTTCTTTCTCTGTCTTACCACCGTGACAAGGGAGAATCACGGCCTGTGTAGTACTGCAGGCACGATTCTTATCTTCTACGATGGTGCAAGACAGAGAAAGAAAGTCTTCTTAAATCTTCTCTCTCTTTCTCTCTTCGCAAGCTTCAGCTTATTCAATGGGACGCTCAGTCTATATTTACTATGTCTATGGATACATGCCAAGAGAGGTTGCGACGCTTAAAAATCAAAACTTCTACGATTTGTGAAATTTCTAGCTTTTTCTGCCAGAAATGTCAATGATGGAAACTTCGTGTCAGTACCGTGACAGGAAGCCATGAAAGCAAATTCTTGTCCCCCCCTCCCTGAGATAATTATAATTAACAAAGTAATTTTTATAAACATTTGCAACTGTATACCTAATCGACATGAATACCATTTGTGTGTACATGTGTGAAAAAGCTATAAGGAATACGGAGTGTTTGTGGTGCTATATATATTTATCTTTTATTATTATAATTTTTATTTTGGAGTGTGACAGACATACCTCTCATTATCATCTATTTTTATTTTTTTTCTACAATATTGTAATTATTTATGACATTATACATTTCATAAATTTGACGATTTAATCATTTCTAGCAATTTTATGCCAAATGATAAAGCACGCAAGGATATTTATATAATTTATATACATATATACATATGATAAACATAATAAATAAAAAGTATATAATTTAATTATATTGATTACTCTTTCCTGCATATTTTATTTAAACAATGATTCTATTAAGTTTATATGTGTATAGAGGAAAGTTCCCTATTATGAAATAAGCTTCTAACATGAGATAGCAGATTTTCAACATCCAAATTCAATCACAAATCTTTTTTCGCAACGATTACGCGATCCAACAATGAATGTTCCGCTAAACAGATTTCACTCCAAGGGCAAAAAATTCATGGTGAAACCAACAGATGATGCCTATTAATTTAGTAGAAACTCCGCTATCTTATGTTAGGAACTTATTTAATAAGGTAACTTTCCTCTGTGTGTGTGTCTAGATATGTAATTTTTCCAATTTTAATATTATTAATCTAAATTGTGATTAATATATTGTATAAAGTATCTATTTTTTTATTAGATCAAATAATAAAGTAAGTAAAGTAGAGCAATTAGAATATTTTTAAATTATCGATGAACTTTGAACTTCTTTTTACCTTTTTTTTTTGAACGCCTACTATAATAAATTTTAGTAACCATGGATGCGTTTAACAATTGGCAAACCGACATGATGGCCGCATGCCAAGAATGTTATGTCGGCCGATTATCAGTGTACTCTCTCTTTTCAAGAAAAAAAAAACGATTTCATGCAATGTGACGGGCGTGGGTGAAAACGATCGTACGACGTTTACAAAACCGATGAGTGACAGAAGCAATGGTTTTTTCACCTCTACTGTCAAACTCGTCGCTATCGATATGTCTGAGAAATCTTGCGCGCGTGACATTAACGAGAGACTTTGTCAGGAACCGATATACTCGTGCTTTACCGCCGACAATATTGACGAAAATCTTTAGAAATAATAAAGGAAAACCCTTCGGGAAAGATGTGACTTCTGGTTCGAATTTACAGAGAGCAGCAGTCAATTTCGTGTAAGGACAAAATGTTGAATTACTCCGAAACTGTTTTAATAATTAGCTTTGTTGGTTACATTTAAGTTATATTTTTTGGTTATATATAAAAGCGTCACAATTTAAGAAAATTATATTAAATAATTTGTAACATTTATGTGTATGGCGATTTACAGACAATTTCTTGTGATTTTTACTTTCAATCTTATGATATTTTTTATAAGATAAACTTTATCTTATATCTACATATTGTATATAAAGAATATTATAAATCTATTATAGTGCCATACAAATAAAAATTACTATTTCTGTTAAATTCTTATCTTTACTAATTACTAAAGACTTTTAATGCATTGTACTTATCAGAGGACTTTTCGAAGAAATTGTAATCAGTATTAAAATAGTTTATAATTGTATAGTTTATATAAAATATCCATGAGAGTGATTACAACATAAAATTTCGTCGAAATATTAAAAGACAGCGAGCTATTTGAATTTTAGTTCACCGTGCTTACGAGAAGAACTCTTATGTAAGATGTCAGAACCAGTTAGAGATTGTGGCCATAAAGTCACTATTGTCGGCGCTGGTATGGTCGGCGTTGCTCTCGCTAATTCACTTCTCTTTCAGGTAATTTATTCTTCTATTTTAAAAGAATTTAAAAGAATGCGAGAATGCGAAATTAAAAATGGAAAAGTTTTATTTCTTAAATTCCTATATTAATTTTCATTGTTGCTTCATGACATATTAGCGAATCACTTCGCATATCGCAATGGTAGACGTCTTTCCTAAAAAGCTGGAAGGTGAAGGAATGGACTATAGCCATAGTTCTGTGTTCATAGGAGATCCAAAGATCGAGTTTGATACAGGTGATGGATTTGAATATGTTCATTTGTTCACGTGCACTGGAATTAATTGTGCTCATACTAATTGGCGATAAACTTTTATGGTTTACAAGATATATAAGACTATTTGTCCTATTATTTACGCTAATTATTTTCTTGCTTGTACATAAAGATGTGAAATTCCTTTTTGGCAGATTTCTGTGTGACGAGTAATTCGAAAGTCGTAGCTATTTGCGCGGGCGTAAGACCAGTGAAGAGCGAAACTCGACTTGACCTGGTGAAAAGAAATACAGAAATATTGAAAACCATAATACCACCTCTAGTAAATTACAGTCCAAACGCGGTGTTTATCGTCGTCAGCAATCCAGGTTAAAATTAATTAATTTAATAAAAATAAAAACAACATTGCGTATATAATAGTAAAATATTCTAAATATTATACTACGGACTAGATTTTAGATAGTATTATTTAGCTAAATGTATAGATAAATTTTGTTTTAATAAAATCTTTACTTAAAGAGAAAAAAAGACGAATAATTATAAAGAAATAAAAATTCTTATTTATAAAAGCTGTGCAAAAGTAAATTGAATTTTCTTCGCAAATAATTATTTGTCAAAATACGCTATCACTTTGTGTAACATTGAACATAAATAATATCGGGACAAGAAAATTCGATGCAATGTTTACGATTTCCTTATATAGTGGATATTTTGGCATGGATTACCTGGAAATTAAGCGGACTTCCAGTTCATCAAGTAATCGGCAGCGGAACTCATCTGGATAGCGCAAGATTTCGCTATCTGATTGCTGATCGATTAGGAATAGCCCCAAGTTCGGTCCAAGGGTACATGATTGGTGAACACGGGGACAGCATGGGTAAGTTCTGTCGATCAATCTTTGACATTTGACATGGGGAGAAAGGCGACGTTACGCATTAAACGTGATATATCATTCGATGTTTCCTAGTTCCGCTCTGGTCTGGAGTGAACGTTGCGGGTGTGCAGTTCCGCGATATTATTCCGAATATCGGTCTGGAGACGGACGACGAAAGATGGTTCGAAATAGCAAAACATGTAGTAAAGCTGTAAGTTCAATCATTTTTAATCAACGGAAAAGTATAAATATCAATAATAGCAATAAATTTACACATATGTCGTCTAGCGTATTTATTTGTAAACGATTGGATCCCTTACGTGAGGATTTAACTGATATTATAAATTCATTTCCTACTTACAAATAATTTAATTTAATTATGACGTGCCGAATCAAAGAACAATTAGAGTGCACATATAATTAAATAATTGTTTTCTTAGAAAAAACAGTACTTGCAGAATTTTACATAAATCTAAGATTTTTTTATTTCCCCAGAGGTGCCATGGTACGATGTCTAAAAGGATATTCAAATACAGCCATTGGACTTTCTGCAGCTGACATTATAATAGCAATCTTACGCAATACGCAGGCTATTATACCAGTTTCAACCCTAGTGCAGGTATAAATTAGTATTCGTGTTGCCGCGTTTAACTTTCACCTGAAAAACATTTTATTTGTGACGAAAAACTTTTAGCTCATTTGTATATTGCATTGTATTATATTTAATATCTTAATTTTTTTACACTTTCCAAAATTCTAAAATGAAAATGTAAGGTGTTCGCAGTTTTAAAAGAAATTTCTACTGCATTGATATAAAAAGGAAACTGTAACGTGTTATATCAATCAAAATGGTTTTCTCAGGGTCACCATGATGTATGCCATGATATGTTCCTGTCCTTACCTTGCGCAATCGGCGAAAATGGTATCACGCAGATAGTACGAATGCACATGACCGAGCATGAGAAAAAGCTGTTCCAGCTTTCGGCGAACGTCGTATACAACGTGCAGAAGGACATCAAAGTCAAGTCTTGAGTAGTGGCGCGCGGAAAGGGATCGTGCGAACGTGTTGTAATTTCCTTTAAAAAAAATGCGAGTATAATAAATTATACGTGACTGTCCCAGCGCTTTGTCCCGTTACGATTGCCGCCACAAAACCGTTTACAGCACAATCGGATCCTTTCCCCGACTCTTGCAGACACGCGGCAATCGCGAATGCTACGATCGCAAATTTATGCAAATCTGGACGGAGGCTACCAATGGCTTCTTCGAATCACATCGTCCCGAATTCCGTGATAATTTGAGCCGATAAAATGATACCGGAGAATAACGATATCCTCTCGCTAACGATCTCGAGATGTTGAAGTCGGGCCCGACGAGTTAATGACGTCGATGACCCATTTTATAACACTTGGGTATATCTGGAACACGTGACGTTTTGTTTGCACAACATGAATTTCTTGTTGCTTCCGAGTAGAGTCTTTCGGCGAACTATGTCTGTACATTTTCGGGTTTTCCCGTTGCATAAATTATCATTAGCGTCCGCGGAAAGCGGTAAGAGTGTACGTCATCGTGTTCGCGACGTGCAAACGAGCGAAAGGTGACCGGTGGATGGTACCAGAAGGCCGTGATTACGCCGCAGGCTAGGCCGCGGCAAGGTAAGAGAAGGATGCGATAACCGTGCGCAAGATGGCGTTTTGGAAGTGCTTGATAGCGAATGTACCTGCATCCACCTGCGTTTGAACGGCCGCACAGGGCCGTAAGAAAGTCAGATCGATCTTTTTGCAGAATGAAACACCTCGTAACGAGATGGTCGTGGAATTCTCATTTGTTGCCGGACATACTGTAATTAGGTATATTAATGACAACGATACGGTCAACGGCGACGTAAATGAGAGGACGACGAAAGATAATTCGGATTCAGCGCACAAAGAATAATGAAATATGGAAACTCCTGATATATTAATATCGCCGCGAAGGCGAGCGGCACTTTGAACCGCTCCCCTTTTACTCGCCGTAGATCCACTTGAAAGGCCAGGCGTGTCGATGATTTTGAAAGAGGAATTCCGCGTAAACCATATGTTACGGACAGACATTTGTCATAGAGTTACAGAAATTTCTAGTTGACTCCGGACAGCCATGGGCTGGTCTGAAATCAACGTCTAATTTGATGAGGCGGTGCGTAGTTCGATGAGTACGACGAGCATACAAATTGCCACTCAACATTTACCGCCTGTCTATTAATTTCTGATTAATATCACTCCAGACATGCGTCAAATCGATGGTTTATCCGACAATCAGTCTTCGTTCCATCCTTACTTCTGAATCACGAGATTCTCACAATCGAGGATGATTGATTTCACGTGATATTTCATACAATATTTCTACGACCGATACTTAAAATATCTTTCCTTGCGTATTTTCAATGTTTATGCTACTGTTGAGTTTACATAGTGCACATATTGTGCATGTACAGCTATCTCAAAGATTGACAAGTTAGGGAGATAAACGTTTGGAGCAAATTTAATCAAAGAGTTTAAGTAGTTATCTACGTATTGGTGGTTTAACGTTCCTCCGTTTCATGTAAGTACAAAGTTCAAGCGACTTCGCTATACCTCGAGATTAACTCATTAACAGAAAATGGTGTCTCACAACGTGAGGATACGTTTCTAAATATCATTGTTTGCTCCTTTCGTTCCGTTGAAGCTGGGCTCGTTTCTAAGTCTCATCGTTTGCCCCTTCCTTTCGGTTTAAGCTGAGCTCTGCGTAGGATACTTAATTGCTCCAAGCAGGTTCAATGCGAAATGGGCTCTACAGGTGACGCTCACATCCCTGGCTCTCAGGTGGAGGTGGCATACAGCCGGGCCCCGTTCTCCGTTGGTCCCGCCGTCCTTAGCCGAGCTCAGTCAGTAGACAGTCGATCCGCCTGGTCAGCTGGTTTCAACCACTCGCATATTACCGATCTCCCTGATGGTAAATCCATCACGAGCGACTAGGTAGGTCCCGGTGCCGATCTCCCGGTGTCTACGAATCGCACAAATAAACTGAGAATCGGACAAAACGTCGGCGGCCCGCGCGCCGCATGTGCGCGAGTGTGCAGCATCTTGACCAAAAGTATCATCGATACGAGGGGCCAGATCGTCTACAGAAGAACAGACCGCGTCGAAGACGGTAGAAGAGGGTAGGAAGTCGGGAAGATTGCGCGCGCGCAATCGGACAGGAGATGACCATATCGTACGCGAGCGAAGTGCCGAACGGCTCCAGCTTTGGCTGCTTCTGGAGGATTCTGATCAAGTGAGTCCCGCCACTTAGTCCGCGAGGCCTAACGCCAGCTCGCTTCAATATGTTGAATGAATGTATGCGTTTTTTTGCGGCCTGCGCTTGACGTAGGCACCAGAGCTGTCAACTCGCTGGCAGCTGACAGGTGAGACCGGTAAACAGGCGCGCGAAGCCTTGGAGTCTCTTTCCGCGTATTTCTCCATTTCGATCGTCTGTCGAATGCAGACACCCTAGGCGTTTCGGTTTCAGGCAATATGCTAATCGTGGTTCAGCTCAATAGTATCTTGATGTTCCATTTGCTTTCCCGTATTTTTTACCACCTGTAATCGCGCCCCAAAGATTACAAGACTCTACTTTTACTTTCGCTAAGTTGCGATAAATTATGGTGACAGTATTTTAATCCGAACATGCGATCGGCTGTCTGCATCGCGATTACGCGATCATTGCAAAACGTAGTGGTTTCGTGATATGAATTTGTCAAGGAACATCAGAACGTATTGCAATGTATCGCAGGATCAAGGTTTCGTCACATATCTTCGATACGGAATGATCTGAAAGATATCTAAAGACATCTAGAGACATATAGACATCTACACTATTATCAGTGTATGTAAGGTGAAGACATTGTATTATAACGACCGGCTGATCGTTGTGCAATGTTCAACTTTCGATGTACTGCTACGCTCTAGATTTATAATTTAGTTGCACAGAAAAAGGAAAGAACAAATGCTTGCTTGAACACAAGAATTCGATAAATAATACCAGAAACAGGATGGCGACTGTTAACGTATACTAACATTCGGACATCAGTGGAGAGCGTCCAACAGTCCTTTAATTAACCAGCCAATCAACCGTGTTTCGAAACTCGTCGAGGAATTAGCATCATCGATTTAGCGAGACCGAGCCCGGAAGTGTCCTAAATTTTTCAGCCGTACAGAAAACGCGACTCGCCCGAGACACAGCGGCGGAGCATGTGAAACCCGCTAGCACAGAAATGGCGTTCGGTCAACGCTTGCTCGTGCGATTTAAGGAAATAAGGTCGCCGATACGTCGATTTTAAAACGTAACGGCGCGCACGGCCGCTGTGCCCGGAATATATCGCCGCTGAAAATTATTGCGCTACCGTATATACGCCGTGCGTCGCTTATCTGCCACGTAATGGATAACAATGGTAATGTTTATACTGGAGGGATTGACGTGACAACATCGGCCGGACACGTGTTTAATCGAGCCACTCGCATGCATATGTAAACCTATCATATGTTCAGAGCGCAGCGTGATATCATTGAAGTCTTTTGAATGGGGTGTGAAGCATCATATAAATCGCGTGATATCCCTATCTCACAGGTGCTTTTAATTTTAAAGGGAGCGCGACGAGAAAAACTGATTAGTGGGATCCTCTCTCCCATCGTTTCGCTAACACACGTGTTTCGAAACGATAAGAACGATGGCAACTGATATCAAGAGACACGGTATAGTAGTGTCTCACGCCAATTAAATGTTACGGCTAATTATTATTCTAATTATTTCTTAGATATATGAGACTTACAATATTAGGTGTCCCTTTACAAATGGAATGTTTCTTCATGCTTCCTTCGGTGTTGCACTACTAATAATTTTGGATATTTCGAAAAACTTTTATATTTTGCTTTTATCTAGATTGTAGCATCGATAACGTGAAATTATTTCTTTTTTAGTTTTTCCTTTTTTTTTTAGTTCGTTTGAAGTCGTTATATAATCATTCTCGTAAATCGGTGTAATCGGTGACATCAATGCTTGTCGAGAGCGTCTACGCGAGTCTCGACAATTACGTATGAAATTAAATGTTATGCAACGTGGAAATTTTTTAGAATATGATGTAAATATTTAAACTAATGTGTGATAATGTACGATTTCGATAGAAACAATCCGAGATATTTAAGTGGAATGACTGATTGCTGACAATTTCCGAAAAGCGACAAACGGAGTCACTTGATTAAACATAATTCTTTCAATACTATGGATACGCCAATAATTGCTCGTCACATACGCGATCATTTCTCAAACACAATCGCAAAATGAAGCGTAAGATACAAACTTATCTCATCGTGTGTGCCGATAGATAAATAATAAACGGAGAAACAGAAAAGCGTAGACAAAAATAGCGTAATTTTTAAATAACAAAATAATACACCTTCAGTATACGCAATTTCTCCTGTCGTTTGTTTAAATAATGATCAAAGGAGCCATAAAGCAAATGTGTTAATTATGTTTTAACACGTTCACATAACATAAGCTACTACCGATTATATGGATAATTCGCGGAGAAATATCAATGAGTTAACAACTTGAATTATTTTTCTATATCTCTTCCTTATATATTCAAATGTAGGATCAAAATTTATGTAAAATTATTTTTGCCTACAAAAAATATTCTTGAAAATTCGCCACGTGGTTTCGTACACCTATTAAAAATATAAAAGTCAACTGCAAACGATTATTTATGTACAAAAGTCAACCTTTTTCGGTGCTTTTAGGCTGCGTATCTTATGACATTCAGCGAAGCTAATAAATGTGTACGTATATTTAGACAATTTGTCAATTTTAATGATATGGTAGCGCCTCAAGATGCAATTTCGCGCGCTTTTCAGCGCCCACAAAAATGCAACTAATAGCACCATCCTATTGCCATTCGCGGTGTCCTTGTCCAAGCCCGTTTGTTGACATTTCTACGACCTTTACACACTATGGTATTGGTGGATGCTCCCTGGTCTCGGTTTCTCTCCGTGCGCCTCGGTGGAAACGGCCTTAACGGCTTTCACGTAAGATCTCGCTTTCCTATGCGTTATACCACAACGCTGCAGTAGTTAAAGGAAAGACGACAGCGGCTGGTCTATAAATACACAAGAATGTCCAGGAATAGAAAATCTTTCGCGGTAGCGTGCAAACGAGAGCGCACACACCGTGAGTCGGTTCTCCTGACAGATCTTATGATTAGATGCAATTCGCAGGGAAAGGAATGTCTGGCTCTCATAGGTTTTTCCCCTATTCTCGAGATCTCAGACGTATAGTTCTCAACTCCGGCAGGTCTTCCGGGTCATCCCTTCGTACGGAATTGGACCGCCTCGATTCTGAACGATCGCGCGCACGGTGATCCGTCGCGATGGGCACCGTTTATGTGAAAAAAGGATTCGCTATCTACGCTATTTGTGCAAAACGGGGCAATCTCGCTCCGCGATATTTCATTGCCAGCGTTTTGCTTCTTTAGACGCGGCGAAACGCGTAGCGCTCCTTTTTCTCGTTACAAGTCTTCCGCGGTGACCCATACCAGCTTTCTTATCCGCCTACCGGTGCTGCTGGCAAAAGGAAACAGCACGATCGCCGATCTATAAATACCCGGGAGAGTCCCCGGAACGTACTATAAATACGTAGCTGGTATCCAGGAATAGAAAATCCTCTTACCTGCTTTTCCAACGCGCTGATAACGATCGAGCCGGCGAATTCTCGCACGCAGAGCAGATCTGTTACGAGGTTAATGACGCGATCGTTAGGACGATTCTGCTGCGCCGTGAAGAGACGTGGCTCGTACGTGCGTGGGCTAAGGGCCAATTCCGCCGACTTCTTCCGAAGGTTAAATCGACGTGAATTTCATCGTCGATTTGTGCCCTCAAGATACTTTTCCACGCGCTTTATACCACGTCATTAAGTCACCAAGACTGGATGCCGGGCTTGCTTCTAATTAAATTTCGTGTTAACAGGATGCGTCTTTTCTATTGTATTAATTTGTGCTGCTAAAGCCAACTCTAAACGTCCGCATTAATATATAATTTTACTTTATTAAATGTTTCTCATCGTATCCTAAGATCTTATTTTTGCTCATTAAGCTGTACAGCTCATTAGCTGTAATCTATTATTTTACTTTCGCGTGACTTTTCTCTTGTTTCCGATATTCTCATGTTTCTTTTACTTGGCAATTTACTTATGATCTTCGTAATAGATGGAAGAAATATTTCTGCCCGTGGTTCAGCCTGCGATCTGATAACAAACGACCAGGCGGAGTGTAGGGAATATCTCGTGAATGTGACGCATCAACTATACAGAAAGGCGAAACGAGAGCCTAAAGTATTTTCATGCTTCCCGATTATCGCTCCAAGCATGACGTTTGTTGCAACAAGTGCCTGCACACGAGCTGTTACAGCTGGCCCGATCACGCGCGCGAAATACCCGCAGCGCATGAACGGAAGAACCGTGGCGGCGAATCGCACGCGTGAAAGCAAGAACAGTTTCACGCCGCTGTGGAGTTGCACGTTCGCATTGCCGCGTTTGCCTTCGTAGATTCATCGAGAAGGCGCGACGAATCGGCTTCGGATCGATATATCGGCGAAACAATTGTTTCCTTCAACGCAGACGATACGCAAGGCCGACCTGCGCGGGCAAAATTTGTGCACATGTTTGCAGAATTACAAGCAGCTCGTTGTGAAATGAAAGAAGCGCGTGTCGCTGAACGATAGGCCAATCGTGATGAATCGTCACGTACTTTATGTAGGACGCGAAATAAGACACGCGTGTGTTGAAAATGTTCTGAAACGCAGGTATTTGGAATCACCAGATTATTGACGCGTGATTATTGAAACGGGAAAGAAACTCAGATTGATTTAAAATTAATGATTTATTCACATCTATACGCAGCATGTCACACAGAATATGTTTAATTACAAGAATTCATACAGCATTGAGAGTTTAAAAAAATGTGTGCGCAATATTAACATTTTCTTCACGTGTATATATTTTTATGTTTTCAATGCATCATGGAAAAATTTTTTTTTTAAATTTTGCTTATATATTATTGAATTATATAAATGTCGAGTCATACAGTTTTATGTTAATTAAGAAATTTAATCAGAAAATTTTCTTAGGATGGAAATTAATTTTTCTTACAGTAAAGGATAATAATTTGACGAAAAAATAAAAAATATAACTAACTTTTGCTTGAATAATTCAGATGACGAATACATCATATTTTGTAAAAATTTATA